GAGAAAAGCATCAGTGGGGGGGTCTATGGTGAGGGTCCGGGCACTGAGCTGCTTGAGGGGTCTCCAGGCTGGTTTGGGGCACTGGGGTGCTCCTGCTCTGCCTGTGGGTGGTGCTGAGCCCCAGAGCCCATCGCCCAGGGGCCAAGCTGAGGAGCAGAGTGGTGGCAAGGGGGCACTGAGAGCCAAGGGAGTCACGCCAATAGGACACCCCCAGACCTAGGTCCTCACCAGCTGGGACGTAGGGCACACACAACGAAATCCGGGGCTGCACTGAGAGGGGCAGGAGACACCCCAAGACCCAGAAATGACACGAAGGGGGAAACACCGAGACTTGAAACCCCACAAGGAGGAGCAGAGGGGACACCAAGACCCAGAATGGACATGGATGTGGTTGGGGACACACATCAAGACCTGGCACCTCACCAGGAGGGGCATCCAGCAGATGGTGGCGATGATCATGATGCCCACGAGCTGCACCATCATCTCCACCTCGCTGTCGCGGCGCCGCTGCACCGACTCGCGGTGGTGGTAGACGCGGCAGAGCGTGACCACGCTGACGGTGTTGAGGATGAAGGAGAGCAGCACGGAGAAGATGCCCAGCAGAGCGAAGAGCAGGCAGAAGATGACATTGCTGGTGTCGGGCAGGAGCGTGAGGAAGCACCAGGAGCCAGGGAACTGCAGCGTGTACCTGCCCAGCCCCAGCACCGGCAGCAGCCCCAGCAGGCAGGAGAAGCCCCAGACCAGCCCCACGATGGCCCAGGCACGGCGCTTGGAGAGGCTGGGGGGGGGGGGGGAAGTTGATGCCCAAGAACCTCTCCCCAGCCATGGTGGCTCCCAGCAGCAGTGGGCACTGCCCGAAGAAGACCATGGAGAAGCCGAGGAAGTTGCAGAGGTGGCAGCCAGGGTCCACCTCAGCCCAGGTGAACCTGATGAAGTGGTAGGGGACGATGACCGAGGCTGTCACCAGCAGCCCCGTGAAGTCTGTGACCACCAGCCCACAGAGGAGGACGAGGAAGGAGGAGCGGGGCTGGCTGGGGAGCTAGAGCTGGCGGGAGGAGCTGAGCAGGACGCAGAGGGCAAAGAGGTTGGAGCAGAGGCCGATGAGGCCGAAGGCCGTGGAGAACCAGGGCGAGGCGATGCTGTTCCGCGCGTCGGCACAGCCGTCGCTGGTGTTGAAGACCCCAAAGCACGTGTCCCCCCGGCTGGCCGTGCTGCTGTTGGGGGGCTCCATGGCCCTCACCCCCTCCCGCTGCTTCTGGCAGCTTCAGGCACCCTCCTGGCTCAGTTCCATGGCCTGTGCTCCCTGTGGGTACCGATCCTGCCTCGCCCTGTGGGGAGAAGGGATGGAGGGTCAGGGCCAGTTCCCCATGGCCAAGCCCATCCGTGATGCACTCTGAGCCTGCAGACGTGGGTCCCCCAGGGGCTGTGAGCGGGGACACCACACCAGGACCCTGACTCCAGGCACAGCTGCAGTGTGCTGAGAGCCCCAGCGGCCTGTGCTCCCTGTGGGTACCGATCCTGCCTCGCCCTGTGGGGAGAAGGGATGGAGGGTCAGGGCCAGTTCCCCATGGCCAAGCCCATCCGTGATGCACTCTGAGCCTGCAGACGTGGGTCCCCCAGGGGCTGTGAGCGGGGACACCACACCAGGACCCTGACTCCAGGCACAGCTGCAGTGTGCTGAGAGCCCCAGCCCTGCAGCTGTGTAACCGTCCCTTTTTTGGGACTGTGGCCACAAGGCTGAATCCCAGTGCAGAGGGTGCTGGAGGAAGTGCTGCACGAGCAGCTCAGCTCCCTCTCCCCACAGGATGACACCCCCAGGACATCTGTGCCCTGTTGTGGTGGGGGGACCTGCTCTGGGGGGTGCAGGCACAGGGTGTGATCCTGACACCCATCTCTGTGCCATCCCCTCAGCTCACTGGGGAGAGGCCTGTTCCTGCAGTGTGGTGGGGAAACTGAGGCACAGGGTGGCACAGCTGTGTGTGAAGCTGTGTGCTGCAGCCCTGGCACTGTGGCCACGCACATGTGACGTTCCCCTCTGCCACCTCTGGCCCCCTAGCAGGAGCCAAGGGTTGGTCACCAGGATGGTGGCTCTGGCAGGGTCCGTGGGGACAGCTGTGGCCATGGGCAGCGCCTCGCTGAGCAGTGACTGGGCCCGGGAAGCATCCAGCAGCTGGGAATCAGAGACTCATGGAATATCTTGAGTTGGAAGGGACCCACGAGGCTCATCAGTCCATCTCCTGGCCCTGCATAGGCCTCCATTCCTAATTAGTCCAGGCTGCAAATGCCGTCGGATGACGTGGGACAGGGCAGAGACAAGGCAACGGAAGGGACGGATGCCATCGGGACGCAACTCCTCACAGGGACCAGACCCTTCCTCTCCTCCTGGCACCCATTTCTGCACACAGTCTGCCCTATCCCACCCTCCTGGCTGACATGGTGCTCAGCCCAGTGGCCCCTATGGGATGCCAAGGGGGATACCCAGTGGATGCTCAGCTGTATCCCCACCCGCCACCCCTACAAAGCCCACCCTGCAGTGCTCCCCAGTTGTGTAGACCCTGCCAACCCTTCCTCCCTCTCGTGCAGGATGGCACTGCCACCTGTCCCCTGTCCCCAAGTCAAACCTCAAGCTTGCCCCAAACGGTACCAAACTCAGTGACAGGTCCCACATCTGTCCCTGCTCCATATCCCCATGTCCCACATGGTCCCTGTGCCACGTCCCACAGACACCCCTCACCCACCACCGCTGTCCAGTCCCCGGTGGCCCCCGGTGGCCTTGGGGCGCAGCCACCCCACACCCCCGAGGCACGAGTGGGGCTGGGCTGGGGCCAGGTATTGCAACATCCTCTTCCTCCTCCACGGCCTCGTCCGGGCGTGAATTTGGGTGACTCTAACAGGCTGGAGGAGTTGGGGTGACCACTGTGGTCTGCTGAGGCTCAGAGTAAAGCTGACCATCACATTCTACTGGAGCTGGAGGAGTTGGGGTGTCCACTGAGGTCTGGTGGGGCTGCAAGAGTTAGAGTGACCATCCTGTCCCAGCGTGGGGACCAGAGGAGCCTGGTGGTGATTCACTGCGAGGATGGGCCAAGACTTCTCCTTGAGTCAAGAGCAAAAACTTGTCCGTTTGTTCCTGAGGGATAGCCACGGTGGCCCCAAAGGCATCAGGGAGCCACCAGCCTTTCCCACGTTCCCTGGGAGGTGACAAATTCTTCCTGCCCCACAGCAGTGGCACCACTCCAGCTGTC